ACCAAACAAGTCGATCGACCGGTCCTTGTGCCAACAGTACACAAACTCAGCCAGCTGATCGGTCGACTGACTGACCTGCTTGTCGGCTGGCATACGGGCCCACTGCGAGCATGACTTACTGAGCTGTTGATGCTGGCTCTGCCTCCCGGTGGCTGTGCGCTGTGTTGCCAACTTTCGGGGGTCGGGCACACCGGTCAGCCGATCGATCGGCCAAGTCGGAGCACGCGCGTTGCGTGTCCCCTCGATTCGCCTCTGGTGTGCGGCTGCACCTCCCAAGACGTGGTGCAGTGACGGCGTCGTGAACAGACGAGCCGTCGGAGCTCCCGGCCCCATCTTCAGGCTTGAGCTCTCGGGGCGGATCGATCCGTCCAAGGCCCGGGGACGGACCGGGACACGGGCCGCTCCCCGAGCAGGCTTGCCCATGGAGCATTCGGCCTTCTCATAAGAATGGATCCTGGTGGTCCGCGCCCGCAGGTTCTTGAGCCCTCGCACAGTCTGAGCTATCCGCATGGGCCTTCTGGGTCTCCCAGTGGATTCCTGCGGCTATCCCAGCCCATGACTTGCATGGTTGCTGGGCTATCCCCGTGGACCCCTTGGCTGTCCCACTGGATTGCTTGCTTGCTTTCCCGCCTCTCCCAACAGATTCCTGGGCTACCCCGCTGCATTGCTTGCCTGCGTCCGAAGGAGCCCAAGTGAGTTATGTTGAGACCGAGTGGAGTCCGATGGATTCCAATGAAGCAATGGAGTCCTATGGAGACAGGTGTACTGCAATGGAGGCCCCTGAGCATTCCCATGGAGTCCAATGGAGTTCTATGGCTCCCAATGGAGCCCAAAGGAGTCCGACGGAGTCATACGGGTATGGGTATTCCACTGCAGTCTGAGGGCGCCCACTGGAGTCCTACGGACATCAATGGAGCCCAGTAGAGTCTGCTGGAGCCCCATAGGTGTCCCAATGGAGTCACATGGAGTCGAATGTCAGCCTGTGGCTGACAACCGATGCTCCCCCTCCTTCCGATGGCTGAGAAATAGATCCCGCGGGGCGTGAAGCTATGTTTTATTCGCCCGCCCTGGGGGCCGCCGTGCGACCGCGCCGCGGAGGAGGACAACCTGCGTGAACGACTCGCCGCTGCCGGCACGCCCGCATGTGTCCGCGGCGAGCGAGGGGGGGAAGTGAGAAGGAGAAGGCCTTCTCGGAAGGTTCGGACGTCCCCCAGCCTCCTGAGACCTTCTAAACCTTCTACGAAGAGAAACTGAGAAACCTTAGAAACTTCTAAACCTGAGTTCCAGGAAGAGAAACCGAGAAACTTCTACGAAGAGAAACTGAGAAACTGAGAAACCTGAGCCTCCAGCCAGTTCTCCTGAGAAACTTCTAAACCTTCCCCGGAGACAGAAACAGCTTCTCCGAAGGCGCGAGGGCCTCCGAGAGGCCCCACCGCCTTCTGAGGAGGCCTTCGCCTGCTCGCTTCCTCCCTTTCGCTCGCCGGCGAATGTGCGAGCGCGCTGCGCACGCGAATCTGTGCGTCGTCCCGAGAGCAAGCGATTTTGTTGTTGGTTCGCGGGCCCTGCAGGGCGCGCCGCTCGAAATTCGAGGTTTCGCTGGCTTCCTCTTAGGTCGGGCATGCCCCTCTACTGGAGGAGTATTCAGAAAATGTCGAATCACATTTTTCTACTATTTTTGAATCGTTTTGAATACTGTTGAGTATTTCTGACAATGCATAACTTGTTCCTTGAAGGTCCGCCTGTAGGAAGACATGCCCGACCTAATCCTCGTCCCTAGGGCTTGCGGCCAGGTGTCGGCGCTGATCACCTGCGCCGTTCGACAAACGTCAGCATGGCCCTCCAGGGCCCTTGCCTCCTTGCCGCGCCTCCGGATCAGGCGTGCTGGCTGCAGTCCACGCTCCGGCAAAGACTCACGGCACCCCTGGGCCTTGACCTCAGGTCTCCGACGGCGTGACCTTCTGAAGTCCCCGGGTCCCCCGGGGCCCTCCACCCGCCACCCCGCGGCGAATGCTCCAGCCCTGGTCCGACCCTGGCGGCCCCTGGGCCCACAGGCGGCCCCTGGAGGCCGATACCGGGGAAAGACCGTCGCGTCGGACGCCCCGGGGTTGCGTGGCCCCGCCCGCCCATCCCCGGGCCATTGGGGGAAGAAGACGCGGGGCATCTTCGAGTCGCTGCCGACCGCGGCCGCCGCAAACATCGACTGCCTCCTGCAGTTCCTCCACGTGCGCGTGGACGACGAGGACCAGCCCCTGCTGTCGCGGCTCGGGCGCCCGGACAGGCACGAGGACGGATGGTTCCGGCTGCACTGGCTCCAGATGAGCCTGGACGAGATGGACAGGCTGAAGAGCGAGGGCTGGTGCCGGGCGTGGCACGGCTGTAAATTGGAATCCTTGAACTCCATCATACAAAACGGGCAGCTCCTCGAGAGCCGAGACGAGGGTTTCGGCGAAAGGCTCCTGACGGGTATGCCTGGAGTCTACGCGCACAGGGACGGGCTGAGCCAGAAGGCGGAGAACTACCTCCGGTTCGCGCCCCTCTGCGGCGACGGCGTCTTCTGGGCCGCCAAGTGGGAGCTGCTGGTCAACCGTGCGGAGGCCGTGCCCAAAAGGGTCAAGACCGATCAGTGGGTGCACCCGTCCAAGTCCGTGCGGCTCGTGGCCCTGTGGCTCTGCGGCCGCACGGCCGCGGAGATGAACGACGGCGATGCCGTCGCCAGGCGCTGGGACCCCAAGATGGAGGCGGACCCGCTGGCTTTCGGCCTGAGGGCCAGGGTTGGCCCTCAGGCGGCCAGCCCTCCGCCGGCCATCACCAACGGCGACGGCGCCGCGGACAGGTGCCCCAGGAAGGCGGGGGCACCCCTGCTGCTCCAGGACAGGCACGCGAGGGCCCTCCTCAAGTTCAAGCTCAGGACGTCCATGGCTGTCAGGAAGGGCGCGGCGCAGGCGGCCCCGGCCGCCACCAAGCCCCGGCCGGCAGCCGCCAGGCGACACCCGGCAGAACCGGCGGCGGTGGCCGCCACCGGCAGGGCGGCTACCGCCGGCCTGTCCAGCGCCGCAGGGCTGCTGGCGCCGCCGCCGCCGCCGCTGCCGCCGCAGCAGCAGCAGCAGCAGCAGCAGCAGCACCCGCCGCCGCAGCAGCCGCCAGGGTGCTTCGGCGCCGCGTCGCCCTTCGACTACCCCGGAGGAGGGCACCACGCCCGCGCGCAGCCCATGCACGCCGCACCCGCGCCAGCGCCGCCCGGCGTCGCGCAGGTTGTGGCTCTATAGGCCTACCGGATGGGGTCCTAGCAGATGGGGTCGTAGGATCGCGCCGCCCCGCCGATGCATCGGCGATGCGGCTCGATGCAGGGTCCGACTTTCTCTACGCCGATGGCGCCGAAGCATCGCCCATGGCGCCGATGCATCGCCAATGCATCGGCGATGCATCGGCGACGTATTGCCGATGTATCGGCGATGCGGCGTGATCCTCCGACCCCATCTACTCGGACCCCATCTAGGAGGCCTCTAGGGTCGCAAGTAACGGGCTTCAGCGCAAACGAGGCTCAGCCAGAACGCGGGATCCTGTAGGATCCTGCAAAGTTGGAGTTTGCTTGAGCCGGGTTTGGAGCCGCTCGCGGCCCTGGAGGTGGCCTTACATATTGACCGAGCCGGGTTTCGGAAGGCCCCCTTCAAACATCTTCAGCTTGTTTTTTAGACATAGACTGGCTGACATGGGTTTGCGCTGAGCCTGGTGAATCCACGCCCGGGCAGGCCTGTGCCCCGCCCGCTGGGTATTACCCTGCGCAGCCCTGGGCGGCGCAGACCCCCCCGCCGCAGGTGCCGCACCAGCCCGCCTTGGGCGAAGAAGCAGGTCGGAGGGCGTCAACTGCATCCTGGCTGGGCCGATCCCGGGCCCAGGATGCGACGGTGGGGGCGTTCGTGAAGACATGTGCCCAGGAGGCTTCAGACCCTCGCGGATTCTTTATCTGATGAGGGCGGCGGTGATATCCATGGCCAAGCGTCAGCTAGCACTCCTCATCCGAAGCTTCCCTATCCAATCCCCCCACCGTAAGTACACATACCCCCCTGACCCAGCCAAGAGGGCGTCTTCGCCCATCCTGGGCCCAGGACGGGTCTGGCCAGGACCGGTGTGGTGGACAGCCGATGCCCCAGGAAAAGCATGCCCCAGGGACTCGTCCTGTGGGGCGCGCTCGGGCCAGCGACCCGAGGCGGACCCGGCCGCGGCGGCGAGGAGCCTCCTGGAGGCCCCTTTGAGATGGCCCAGACTTCCACCGATTCCGTCCGCGGCCCCGGGTGGCTCCCGGCCCCTGCCCCTGGGGCAGCGCTTCGCCCCTCTTGGGCTCCCAGGGTGGGGTCGGAGCAGACGGGGTCGGGGGACCGCGCCGCACCGCCGATGCGTCGGCGATGCAGCTCGATGCGGAGCCCGACTTTCGCCACGCCGACGGCGCCGACGCATCGGCGGCGTCGCCGGTGTACCGCCGATGCATCGCCGATGGATTCGCGATGCGCGGCGACCTTAGCTTCGCTCCAGATCCACTTCAGATGATCCCGGCGCCCGACCAGGGCCTCCGAGGGCCGAAAAATCGAGGGACGAACGCGCTGAGATGGAGCAGATATCGTACGGTCGGGCCGAGGTATGAGGTCGAGGTCGGTTCGGGGAGGGTGCCCTGATGTTCTTCATGTCTGCTGGGTGTTCTGGTGCATCTTGGGGGGGGTACTCTTGAGTGTTCTTCGGTTTGGCAGGCGGGAGGGTACCATGTTTCTGAAGGACGTTCTTCCTTCCCAGGTCGGGCCGTACACGCCCCGGTCGTTGAAAGTAGGTATTTCTGGCTTCCCAGATCCCAATCTACTTCAAGCGCCTTCCTACTTCAAGAGCCGATACGTTTTTTTTCTGTGGTTTGTTATTCTCTGGGAGGTCCTGAACCCAATCTACTAGATCCGCCTTCCTACTTCATGTTTCTACCCACTTCTTCCGACCGACGTGTATCCCTGAGATCCGATGCCTCGCAGACGGGCAGGCACGTCGTAGGTCACGGCTGGAGCCCCGTCCAGACCCCATGTTTCTGCGCCCTTGTCCGAGCCTGAGCGATCCGTGAGGGCCCCAGGGTTAGAAAGTCCAGAAAGTCCAGGGTTCGCCAGGGACTGACTGGCTTCCTTTCAAGACAGCCCGAACCATCCCCAAAACCCTCCTGAGAAGGGTTACGGGAGGCTATTCGGAGGGTTTCGGGGAGTTTTGAACGGTTTTTCGTCGTTTTGAGGGAAGCCAGTCCTGAGCGAACTCTGTGCTTTGTACTGCTCGGCGCCGGGCGAGAACGACCTGCTCGGAAATATTGAGACGCCGTCATATTTGGAGTCTTCGGAGGCCTGGGCCAGATGCGCCTGAGCAGGGCTTACCAGGGAAGTGGAGTGGGGGGGGGAGGAGGAGGAGGAGGAGGAGGAGGAGGAGGAGGAGGAGGAGGAGGAGGAGGAGGGACGGAGGAGGAGGGGGACGAGGAAGTGGAGGAGGAGGGGAGGGAGGGGAGGAGGAAGGAGGCGGAGGGGAGGAGAGTCAGAGGAGGAGGAGGAGGAGGAGGAGGGTGGAGGAGGAGGAGGAGGAGGAGGAGGAGGAGGAGGAGGAGGCCAGAGGCTTCGAATGCACCGCCTGGAGGCTCCGAAGCCAAGAGCAGAGCCTCATGGCGCCCCGCCGCGGCGCCGCCGGGGTGCTTCGCAGCCGCCCCGCCGGCGGCCGCGGCCGCGGACCTCCGCCCGCAGAGTTGCACAGAGGCACGGGCACCCTCCTCCTCCTCGTCCTCCTCCCCCTCCCCCTTTCAGCCTTTCAGCCTTTGAACTACATGATCCCACGGCGTGAGACCAGCAGCAGAGAGAGTGGCGGGCGGGGCAGAGTGGGTAACAAAATTTGGGCAACACAGCAGCCTCACCCTCTCTGAATGGGGATGCTGTGGCCGAAATATGTCTTGGTGGAGGGGTCAATCCCCCTCTTCAGGAGGGACAGACTATTGGCAGCATCTCGATTTGCTGGATGCCCGAGGCACTTCGCACCCAACTTCAAGATCTTAGCTCTGCCAAAACACCCACACACCGCACAAAAGAACAAACGCAGATTCTGGACGGACTCGGAACTCCCCCAAAGCCTATGGGTCGAGTGCGCCTGACGAATTAGCCTCGGGATACCAGTGCACCCAGTTAAGACCAGGCCCGTGTAAGTCCTCGAACGGGACAGACAAATCGAACAAGCGAATCCCTTGCCACAGTGCTGAACCTGGTGACCGTTCGGGCTCGGCACTATGAGCAGCTCGTTGGGTTTCGCCCTGGGCCTAATCTTACAAAACTCAACATCTGGAAAACGACGCCTCGACCAATGTCCAAGCACCCTCGCTGTGTAGCGAGAGAGAGAGAGAGAGAGAGGAGACGCGCGGCCTGCCTGGCCTCCAAGTCCTGGAGGTACTGCGAGTGGGGGACCTCGCGGGCGGCCTGCCTGGACAGAAAGTCGACGGCTCGATTGCCGTGCCAAGCCCAGGCTGGGCAGCCTAGCGCCTCGGCACGCATCCTGCTCTTGTGAGCAGGTACCTTAAAGAAAGTGACAGTTTCAGGACCTCGGTCCAAAATCCGAGCAAAAACCTCAGTCCAAAACTCACCGAAGGGCAAGTCCGTACAGTCCTGGAGCAACCCTCGGGACCAAACTGAAATCAGAGCTTCACAATCAATGCCTACCTCCAGATTCCCAGGCCCTGCGTGCCTGAGGATCATGAGCACAGCATAAAGTTCAGCCCCATATATGTCCTGTAGGGGGTGGGGGAGCGGTCCCGACGCACTGGCCAGAAGCTCCCCCGCATCATTCATCATGGCGAAAGCCCATTCTGCTCTACTATGGTGCCTGACCTTGGGACCTAAGACGGAGCCATCGGAGCAGATCTTACCTGAAACAAATCCGTCAGGCGGCGGAACAATCCACCTCCACCTGTCCAGTGTCTTGGGAACGGGGGACCTTAAGGTGGGGGAGGTAAGGAAGCACCGAGTGAGGAAGGGGTCATTCGGGTCCCCACGTTCCCATTCAGGCAGCTCCTGTTCAAAACCTTGGCCTCGTCTAAACAATTGATTCGCAGGACACCCAAACATTCTGTGAAACCTACCCCCTTCAGGAAAGCCACACACCTGGCAAGCCCCACTCAGAACCCGTCGATCCTGAACTAACTCCAGCTGTGTGACCAATCCTCCAGAGACATGGGTAGCCAACAAAGAAGCCTCCAAGTCTTCTCCTTTGTTCCTGAGCTCCTCGCACACCTGGGCAATGGGCTCAAGCATGGGCCTGGAGCAGGTGACGCCGCCATGCTCCCACTGCAGGTCACCCACAGATACATCCTTAGTTGCCAGGTCCACGAGGCACTTGAGGCTGCGGCTCGTAAGCTTACTGATATCAATCGGCATCTCAGTCGGCATGAACCACTTGGAGTAACTCTCAGGAACCCATCGAATCCTCTGAAGCGTGCACACAACAGCCCCCGTAGGACCGCGGACCTCAGCCCATGAAAGGCCTGGAAACTTCTGAAGGTAGAACCTGAAGACCTCCTCCATCTGGTGCTTGGGGGCCCACGAGCCCCAGTAAGCCTTTCCCCAGAACGCCAACGGAGCCGAGTTGCCGATATACACGGGATCGGCTGCCTCATTACCCGAGAGCGCAAACTGGACTGTTCTTGTCCGCCCTCGAGGTGATCCAAAAATACACTCAGCCACTGCGGATCTGAGGTACTGCAAGCGCTTGTCGGAAATTCCCATCACGCCAATTCCGTAACTGCCAGCTGGGAGGGCGCCAGTGCGAGCGATCGACGTTAGCTTTTTGAACTGGGATTTGAGCGAACGGTAGCGACCCGCTCTCAACCTGATCTTTCGGATCCGAGTCTTCTGGATATGAGCGGCACGACCCCGAAGCGAATAATCACATCCAAGATTCTGAACCGAATGCACCGATTTGAATCCCCACTTCTTAAGCCCTGCACATATGCCAGCGGCCAGTTCGGCAGTAGAAGCAATAACTTTACCGTTACTTCTGGATATAATCAATTGCCTGGCCTCGAGCCTGTTGCAGAGGTCACGCGTGGCCTTGACGGCCGAGTCCTTGACTAACTTGGCGGTTGCAATTACCTGGATCGTGATGCCATCGACCACGTTATAAAACCTGCACAACCTGTGTGAACTAACCATGCTATCAAGATCAGTAATGATAAGAGCACGCAATAGCGTTGTAGCATATCCGCAACCCGCCAAGATAGTTGCATACACCACCGTGGGCCTGTAAACGATGAGGCCCATGAGGAGCACGCGCGGGCAAGACAATAACAAAGAAACAGGTGCTACAGGGGTACAGGGGAAACTGTGCTGCCGCGCAGCAGACAATAACTGAAGGTGCTTCACCTTTTCGTACGCTTTGGTCAGGTCAATCAGCACATTCGCAACATCAAAACGGTTTATTGACGTATGCTATGCGGCAAATGCTTGCTCCCATACCGCTCTCTCACATGCCTTTCCTTTAGTCCCATACGAACATCCCCTTTGATGATCCAACTCCCATTTCGCTGCTACCCCTCTTGTACACCTGCTCCAAAGACGAACCGTCATACTCAAGAGTGCGATAAGCCGATGACCGTCGTCATCAGGCTTTGGTAAGGCTGGCTGCAGAGTAAGCGAAATCTGGGACGGCATCATCCCATCACGGAGCATCCAGCTCCATAATGCATTTAACGCTTCCAAACACGGGTCGGAAAGAAGTAGAAAATCACGAGGTCCACGCTTGTCCACTCCGTGAGCAGTCCACGCTTTCATCTTCCTAGCGACCGATCGGATCTCATCAGGGCTGAAGCTCATGATGGGGCTGGGGAGGTCCTTCAACATGTCTTTCAGCTTCTGGAATAAACCTTCTGGATCTTCAAGGGGCCTGCTGGAGCCACTGGGATCCCATATGTGTTCCCAGTCCTGGAGGTTGTGCTCGATGAGGTCTGAGGGCCCAGGAGGTGCTTGTCCTTGTCGGGGTACCACAGGGCGCCAGCCCACTGGGGGCTTGGTGTACTGGTGGGCTCGACCTGCTCCTGCCTGCACTGCCTCCTGAACAAAGCCTCTCCACTGCTTGGCTCGCGAACTGGCAAACTGCGCCTCGAGCTTCTTAGCGTAGCCTCCAGCACGCTCATGCAAATCATCTAGAGCTTCTGAATCGCACCAGGCTAGATATCCTGCATCCAGATACCACATACTTTTCCATTCGTCAGTACAGCGAATCTCTGGAGTGCCAAGCAGTATCTTGGCGAACAAAGCAGCAGCTCCTACAGTGTCATTTACAGATTCCTGGGCTCGGATCCTGGAGAGCTCCTGAGCCCAATTCCCCCACTTCCTCCAGGCCCTGCTGACGGGGCACGCCACAGGGTAGGGTCCAGAGGATGGGGGAAGGGCAGGGATGGTTTTTAATTTCCAACCCAGTCCTCGTCCAGTATATCTCTTCCAATCAGACTCGGGAATGCCATGTACTGCTAGAAGTTCCTTTTCTAACAATGCCATAAAGCGTTTGAAGACTGTGTTCATCTGCTGCTGATCTCCTCCATCCTCCAACCATTGAAAAACTCCTTCCCATTCAGCTGGTGGTTCAGGATGGGGGCCTTGTGGGCGCTCACGTGGGAACTTCCGAGGTGCCTGCAGAACCGTGATGTGCTGTGGGACCAACTTACTTCGCAGCCGCAGAAGCACTGGGCGGTGGGGCTTGATAGCCGCATTCAGCGCCACCGTGCACGAGACCACAGAAGGAGCCAGAGCATCAGATACTACAAAATAATCTAGCGTGCGCCATTCCTTCTTACATGCCGTGCAAGTAGGAGAAGCTGGAGCAATGATGCGGCCTCGAAGTTTACTCGCCCATCCACGACGACCCAAAAGCGTAGGAGGTGCATTCCAATCCCCTCCAATCAGAAAGGGGAGCGACGCCGCATGCAGGAACTCCCCCAGCCGACTCAACAGAAGGGTGCCCTCTGCCCCAAAGGGGTCCGTGGTAGGCATGTAAACTGATACTGCCAGGAAGCCTCCAGGTATAACAGCATTTATCCATTTCACCAAGACCCGATGAGGAAAGGGAAGAGGTTGAGGCCGTCCTGGTGGATTCCCCATCCCGGTACAAGCTGGAACCCCAATAGCAACTCCTCCAGAAAGGCCTCCAGCTTCTGTGGTACGAGAAGGGCTTACCGCTGCCAGCAAACCCTGATCCCGCAACATCTTCTCGCAGTCAGTCTTCCGATCCTGCGAGACACCTACCTCTTGCAAAAGAAACACTTGGGGCCCTCTAGGAGAAAACCTTGCCTTGCCACTACTGGCTGCTTTCCGAAAAACTGCCTCTGTCCTGCGGACCTGCGCCTGCGACTCAACGTAGGCCAAGCACGGCTTCCAGCTCGTGGTGTTTACAGTGCGCAGGTACAGATCACCGATGTTAAAGTACTGGCTTGCGACCTCCAGCCGCCTCAGTACCCTTGCCGTCACCGTTGCTGCCCTTGCCGCTGGCGATGCCGCTGCCGACGCAAGACTGGGCCTTCTCGAAGAGTTCATCGATGGATGGAGCTGGCTTGGGAGTGCTGGGCGCCGCAGACTCATCTTGCGCCGCCGCGGCGCCCCCAGCAGGCGCAGCCGTACTCGCAGGCGCCACCTGTGGTGCCTGGCCTGGCCGCGCACCACCTCCAGCAGCTCCTTCATCTCCGTCACATCTCCTCCTCTTGGCCTGCATTCGCTGGTTGAAGCTGCGCTGCTCCTCGACCATCTTGGCGCACTGAGCCTGCAAGGACCCGAACGCCTGCTTCGTCGCCTCCTGCACCAGGGCCAACAACGCCGCCTTCCGAGTGTTGAGCTCCTCTCTCTCGGTTTCGCTGATCTCGATGCCTTGAAGGTCCAGTCCAAAAAGGCCGTTATCATCGAGGTCGATCTGCTCACCCTCCAGAAGGGCCTGCAGACTGATACGCTGCACGTCATTGACCACGATGGTATCCTTGGGCTCCACCACCTCCGACGCGAGCTTGGCCACCGCTTCTTTGTACGTCTTCTCACATTGGTCGAAGGTAGTGAAGGCCTCAGCCGCTCGAGCCCGTGCTTCCTTGGCCTGGAACTCCAAGGACTCCGCACGCTTGACCGCCGACACCATCTGTTGGCGGGCCTGCTCCATCGCGTACTGAGCCACTCCGACCGTCGGGGACTGGGGCTTGGCGGCCTCCTCGAGCTGCTGAATGATGGCCTCATATTTCCGAGATGCCGCAACATCTCCGACGGCCGCGATGGACTTCTGAGCATCCCTAAGGCTAGGCAACTGCTCAATGGTGTAGTCATGCCGACCGACTCCGCCGCATGCACGCCAACCTCCTCCGCCTGCTGCTTGTCCCAGTTGCAGTCCCACAGCCCGAGGCGGAACAGAGCCCCCACCAGGGCCGAGAGCAGCATCGCGAGCAGGTGAAGTCGCAAGGCTCCAGACCCCTGACGGCGGGGTTCCTGCAGTTGCCTCGACCTCTTTGCGTCCT